TTGTCCCCTTCCGCTTTCAGCCCCAACAAAATCAAAACAAAGTCAGATCTGCCCGGTTACACATGGCAACATCCCGCATCACAAATGTTCTCCAATCCAAAGAAAGACATGAAATCCTTGAAACAGTGCCGTGAATTACTTTCTGAACGTTAACAGGACTACCAAATACGTATCCATTCGTGATGTCGTCAAGTTTTCTAAAAACCTTCACAAGCTCACGGCCATGGCTTCTCTGGACATGACACAAAACCTGAGCTGACATTACCTGATGTAGGAGTTCTGGATAAAAAGTCATTGGATTAACTGAATAATGCTTTATTATAAATCACTTTATATTCAGTTCAGCTTCACACATACAAAAATCCTTTATTTGTAAAATATGAATATAAAGCTTATATTTGTAGGTAATGGTATGGCAGCAACTAACAGTTATTTTAAATATCGATTATGCTGATTATTTTAGTGATTAATCATTTGGACTATAAAATGTATATACAAATATTAAATAGTGAAAAAAAACATCTCAGTTTGTCAAAGTCCAAGGTTGATGTCTACAGAGGTCTTGCTTCGTCCATCCAAAACCCAAAGATATTCAGTTTAATATGATATTAAACAGTTAATAGATTCACAAATAATTGCCGTCAATTTATTTTATCTATCGACTAATTGATCAGTCGACTACTTGTTGCAGTTGTGAAAGCAAGCACTCATGGGTTTCATAATAAAACACAAACAATTATAATTAAATATTTTTTTATCCTTCTCTAAATGGGTGTTGTGTGTCCATTCCAATAGTGGGGGACTGTTGCCAGGATTTAGTAAGAGGGTACAATCTATTGGCGTCTAAACCTTGAAAGGAAAGTAGGGCAACGTTTTAACTGAGATTAGACAGATGGTGTTCACAGGAGCAGCAGTCACTGTCCCAGCTAAGTGTTAGTGGAGGTTAGTAATCCCTGACCCCTCCCCTTTTCCCTACCATGGCCCCAAAACCCCAAATTATTTTAATTTAGGGGAACGTTTATGTCATGTCATCCCCATATTAATCAAGTGTACAATCTCTGAATATCATGTAGCAGCTGTAGGTGTGACAGACTGCAGAGACACATACACATCAGCCAACAGAAGATCACCTTGGTGTTGGTGTTTGGAAAATAACTAGAGAAAAGGTGTCAGACCCTCACTCACCATATCAAGATCCCTCTGGGTGGTCATGGCTCGGTGCGGATGAAGGCCGTGGACGAGGATCAGAGAGGACAGGGCTGGTGTGCTTCAGCTGCTGGAGACGGGGCCAGAGCCCTGACACAAACAACACAAACACTGTGAGCTGCACCGCCTGGCACCATCACTGCATATATAATCCATTAGCACCCGAGCTAACATGTCGCAGCCAACATCATAACACTGTCAATCAAACGAGTAACATGCACAAGATTCAACAGCTACCTAAAGTAGGGAGCAAACTGGCTCACTTGCCCGTGATTTAAGCTAATTAAAACAACAAACTGAGCTCGGCAGGCTACAGCAGAGACGAGCTTATCCTCCTCACACTTAACGTTAAGCTAGTGGAGCTGGCGGGCTAATGTTTATTATATTAGCCTGATTTACCTAATGATGCAAATAAGCTGGTGTCAAGTAACAAATCAAATGTTGTTGAACATCTTTAAAAACGCATTTAGCCTGAATACACTTACTAGCACCGAGTTGTGTGCTGCTGACTGATGTCGAAACTGGTCGCTGTGAATAGGAAACCTTATGCTAACATTAGCATTAGCTCCTGTTTTAGCTTATGGCAATCCTGCTATCTCTGGTTAGCTGCGGGCTAACTGGCTAACTAAATGTGCAACGGAGATTTGTGTCCCGTTAAGCTCACCTGCATCTGATGACTGTGATGAAATGTTGCATTCAGTTGAGTTGCCGAATCAGCGGGGAGCGCTTTTCGTGGGGAAAATATCGAGTGTAAATGGATATCGTTGACTGAGGTATATCGGTGGCTAATGGACGGGAAGACGCCGGATGTCAGCTGGTTGTAAACACAGTGAACCACCGCTAATACTTCTGGGAGTTGAAGTCCAGAACAGAGATTATCGCCGCAATTAAAGACCTATTAACAGTCAGGGGAAGAGGAAGTACTCAGATCTTGTACTTCAGTAAAAGTAGAACTACCAGTGTAGGAATACTCTGTTACAAGTAAAAGTCCTGCAATCAAAGTGCTACTCAAGTAAAGGTAGAGAAGTATTGGCATCAAAATATATTTAAAGTAGGCCTACCAAAAGTAAAAGTACTCATTATGCAGATTGGTCTATTTCAGAATAATATATATTATATTTATTGATTATAAATATTGATGCATCAATGATTTTATCAAAGCTGGTAAAGGTGCAGCTAGTTTTAATGACTTTGTATACTGCAGGGTATAGCTTGTGAATCTGTAACTAAAGTCTTATTGTTATCTGTTGATAATATTTTACATCATTATTCCAAATATGCAAAGTTACTAAAGGTATACAATAAATGTAGTGGAGTAAAGTAAACTTTTTACCTCTGAATTCTAGTGGGATGGAAGTACAAAGTAGGAAAAAAATGAAATACTAAAGTAACCAGTCTGTCAGAATTGTACTTAAGTAAAGTAATGTATTTAGTTACTTTACACCACTGTAAACAGTCTATGTTAAGAACGTTACAGCAACCCCTCTTCTGCTTGATATAGTGCATAAACTGTGAAACGTGATTATGAATTTGGTGCATTCCTTTTTTGTTAGCTACAATTATCTACAGTCTACTCAGTGCATCTTCAAGGTGAATCTTATTCACAATGATGCAGATTTTAGATGATGTGTTTAACTGTTCAGGTCCTCTAAACTAAAAGAGATTAGACTAACATATTAACTGAAGATTGCAATATTTTCAGGGTCATGAGGAACTTGGTGGACACTAACTCTTTGAATCGCTCAGTACCAAAACGTTTAGCCACAATAAAAATTCCTTCCCATCAACGACTGGCCTCCTCAACAAGGCCTGGCCCTCACAGACTCGTAACCCCTCCCATGTACAGTATGCACATGAACCTACTCCTGTGAGCCAGCCCTCATATTCCATACTGTAAACCTCCTCTGAATATTTAGCAAAAGAGTACAAAAATAGAGTAAATTGTCATTTTGTTATTGTACTTTTTTGTATATTTAAATGTATTGTAAACATTTATTTTTTGCATATCTTCTAATTGTATAATTGTTTTTAAAACTTTTAAAATAGTGATATGCCTGTTTCTGTTTCCTTTCTTTTTACAACTTAATTCCTATTATTTTGTTTATGTATGCACCATTATACACCAAAGCAAATTCCTTGTACGTGTAATCACCAATAACCCTGTTTCTGATTCTGAAGTCAAGGAGGCTATCTTCAACAAATGGCACAGACTGAGACACATGTCCTGCTGGTATAACTAACTACTGTATACTGGTTATCATTACTTTGTGGTGGGTTACAAAAAAAACATTTTACATTCAACCAATGATGAAATGTTACTAGATATGTACCAAATGACTGTACCACAGTGTGTTGATATTTCAAGTTAAAGTACTTTAACTTGATTCTTTTTATTTTTCCACTACATTTCAGAGATAAATATTGTACTTTGTTATTCAACTACATTTATCTGATAGCTTTTGTTACTTTTTTACATACAAATCAACACTTATTTCATATGATGCATGTTATAATACTATAATCTACCCAATAGTATAGATCTATGACTGTTACATTTTGTGATAAAAACTGAAAAATACAATATTCTAAAATAATACAACAATAAAAAAGGATTAATTCTGCGTAATAAATACTTTTACTTTAAACACTTTGCGAGCATGTTGATGCTTATACTTGCAATTAAGTGTTGGAAACTCTGGTATTGGATGTGAGTAATTCTACATGTATTCAACCATTAAGAAGTGTCATTACATTAAATCATTTACAATGATATCATAAAAGAAGAAACAATGCACATAACTGTACAGACATGGCTGATTGTTAAGCTATAAACTGTATCATTTGGATTTAAAGCAGAGATAAGATTGTGAAATCTGTCAAAGAAGAATCACATCTGGCAGCGTGGTAAGGCATAGCAGTCCCGCATTTCTTGCCTGTATATTAAATAGTTTTACTTAATTTGATTCATTATTCAAAATCATATTTGATTCATAATTTAAAGTAGGAATTTCAACACTAAGTTTAAATTACATTTAAGGAGGTTCCTGCATTTTTCTTTTTATACCAATCTTGTGGGTAGAGGTTCTATCAAAATGTGTATTAGTTAAAAGTCCTTTATAATTTTTTCCCGCTTTTTATCTACTTGAAAGCGTTGTTGGCTAATGTGTCTTTTTATTACTGCAAGTGCTTGTGAGCCAGAGTATCAAACATCTAACAGGGTCAGGATATTCACGAGGCAAGATTTCCTAAAACTGTGGAATCTATTTGTTTAAAAGACAACCCTCCTTCTATATTTCACAAAAGTACTAATTTGACCACTTTTGAAAATCTAACATTTCTAAAATTATTGTTAGGAATTTACTAAAGTTTTAGAGCAGACCCCCACGTTTTCATTGGTGTTGTTCAATGTAGGTTTTTTTTGTTAATTGAAATAGATTTACAATTTTATAAAGAAAGATATGCACCATCCAGTATTATTATACATTATTTGTATCATTTGTATTATTGTTAAAATATTATTTTCTGAACACAAGAGAAATTAAAATGATCAAGAGGGATACATATAGTAATAAGTATAATACAAATAAATATGTTCAAGAAACATAAATGAAAATACAACCAATATATACAAAAAATGGGAATCGGAATAAAAAATGTAAAAAAACATTGTTTTGTAGTTTTTGTTGTTGTATTTTATTAGTATCAGTACTCTAAACATCGGTAATACCTTAACTGACCGAAGTGTACCTGGGACTTAGCACACTTAACAGACTGTTACATAATGTAGTGTTAGAGCAGGTAGCCTACATGTTGCCTCATTCAGCTGCTGTTTACGCCTGTGCTGCTGTCACATGTTTGACTCCTTTTCCCAGAAACCCCCTGTGCGCAGGCGCAGAACGCTTCGCCTGACAGTGGTAAACAGACGTCAGAAGGGAGTCTTCGCCTCGAGTCAAAACAAAACAAAACAAAACAACTCAAAAAGAGACTGAAGGAGTGAATATTTGGACAGCCACGACGACAGGAAGTTTTAAAAAACTCATCGCGGATTAAAATCGGCCACTTGGTGGAAGTTATCGGGAGCTTTTCACGGACTTTTTCACGGATTGTAAACTCTGGAGTACAGCAGGAGCTTAAGCAGCTAGCGTTACGGAGGCTATCGTGCTGTTTTCAAAGTGCGGCGGGTTGGAGCCGACACACCGCCGAGGACACACAACTTCACCCAACACCCGGGAATCCGCTTTCTAGTTTGTTCTCCGGTACTTGGTGGCGGATCGACCGAGCTCCGGGCCTCGCTGGGAGGGTTTTATAGCCGCTTCTTCGAGCATCGTGTGCGGCGGCGGCAGCAGAAACATGGCAGATGGTGACATGCGCCTGGCCGCAATGTGGCGGATCGTGCAGACCTGAAGCACGGACTTTACTCGCAAACATTTCTCTCATCTTTCCACTTTTATTAACTTTATAAACACCATTTGTCAGTCACCTAAATCCCTTCCCTGTTCCCCCGCTCTAAATTTTTCTGATTTTTAGTTTTTAGCGGCTTTTACTTACAGGCCGAGGAGCTGGAGGCTGCTTTTTAAACACTTTTTTTTTACAGTTGCAAACAAACTGTTGTTAGGATGATCAGTCGTTTTTAGTTTTTACACTTAACTTTGATTTTACCGGACTGGGTTGTGAGGTTTTTTTACGTTATTTATTTGTTTGAAGTTTGTTTGGATGTTTTCTTTGGCTTGTGTAGATCACAGACATCACGTTGTTTACAAGTGGATACGGACAGGGGCTCCTGAGAAGATCCTTTGTAATCCCTGTTTGTAGTTTCATAGCTTTACAGTAAAACATATAAACCCTCCCTGTTTTGAATAAGACCATTTAAATATAAATTGATACATTTTGTACGAAATATTTCTTAATTTTTTATTTATTCAAAAAATATTGTTTAGCATTGCTAATTATATTTTTCACAACATTTACCATTTAAAAAAATATTTAAATTGTTAAATAACAGGAATGGCATTATTTTGTATCCATATACCTTTAACATTTTGGTATTCATTTGCAGGGGAACCAAAACCTCTGTAGAACCAGATGTTTTGGTGCTCACTCTGCCACTTTTGTTTTTATTTCATTCAAACAAAGGGACTCTCATCCCGGCCCTCCTTCTTTCTATATAAATCGGAAGGTTTATGATAGTTACTATTAAAGAGATTATTTGGGTTCCCTAATCTCCAATCTGAGGATTAACCGAGGCTATTGGTGTGCCCAGATTATTCCGTCTCCTCTCCAGGCCCCACAGTCTCTGGAGCATATTGTTTTTGTGTCAGTTTTTTTTACTCATCATACACTTAAAGTTTACCTTAACTTTTTAGAGTAGATGTTTTAAGTCGTGACATATTTTTTTGGTTGAGTGTAAATTCAGAGGACCACCATGGAGGACTCTTCGGTGCCACCGATTGATCCAGATTTTGAGCCGCAAAGCAGGCCCCGCTCCTGCACATGGCCCCTGCCCAGACCTGACATCTCGGCTGTCAAACCGGAGGGGGCGGATGGCTCCGAGTCCTCCGCCGGGACCCCGCCCGGGGACGAGGACAAGCCCGAGCCCCAGCAAATCACGTCCGAGCCCGAGAAGGCTTTGGAGGCGGGGGCGGAGGGAGGGGCCGCGGCCGGCGGGGGAGGAGCGACGCCCCGCAAAGGGTCCTCCCGCCGCAACGCGTGGGGGAACCAGAGCTACGCAGACCTGATCAGCCAGGCCATCGAGAACTCACCTGAGAAGAGGCTGACCCTGGCGCAGGTCTACGAGTGGATGGTGAAGACGGTGCCTTACTTCAGAGACAAAGGAGACAGCAACAGCTCGGCTGGCTGGAAGGTGAGCATGTGGGAGGTGGACATGTTTACTGCATCAAGGTGGACTGTAGAGCTTTATGTGGCACAAGTTATATATTTATAGCTTTACAATTCATGTTGCACCATAGAAACACTGGTATGCAGATAACCATCATATTACTTGGGCTGGGCAATATGGAAAACAATTTACGACAAATGGCGGAACATAATTTAATATAATTATTAATTTTGTATATGTATGAAAAAACCCTCTTTCAAAAAAAGTGTAAAACTTTATTTCTTTAGGTATTATATGTTGTCTTCTTTAATAGATGTCTTTAATTATCTCCATATATGACTGCGCAGTGTTTCCCACAGAATTCTATTTGTGGGGGCACCGCCCCCCCCCGCAAGAAAAGCCAAAGGCCCCTTAACCTATTCGGGTGGCCCACGCATCCACCCCCTCCCCTCAAATAACAAAATGCATGCGAGTTCATGGCTACTGTAGCACACAACGTTCTTGTTGCTCTGTGTTGCGTTGTTAATGAGTGAGACACACGGGGTTGAGGATCTGTGGCGTTTATTCTCCCAAAAATGTAATATACAATTTACAAAATAAAAACTAAAATAAAGAATGAATCGATGTATGGGAAACACTGACTGCGTGATGATAAACTGTCTAATTGTTCAATTTGAACAGATATAGATACTGTGCCGGCACTTTTAATGTCTTCAATCTTCTTCCTTTTTGTTTGTTTACGTTTATTTAATTGTTTTTTAGAATTTTTTTTTTTCAGCAAGGCAAATATAGTTCTGACTAATAACCCCTTGAAACAAAGCAAGTGGGGTGATCTAAACTTTGGCAGAGCCAAATAATATTTAATATTGTGATTAATCAAACAATGAAAACATGTTTAATGAAAGAAAGCCCACTGCGCATCATTTTTCATATTATTTCATGTTCTCTATCTCCTGTTTTAGAATTCAATTCGCCACAATTTATCACTCCACAACAAGTTCTTGAGGGTACACAATGAATCGACAGGAAAGAGCTCCTGGTGGATGCTCAACCCAGAAGGAGGGAAGACGGGGAAAGCCCCCCGCCGCCGCGCCGCCTCCATGGACAACAGCAGCAAACTGCTGAAGAGCCGCATGAGGGCAAAGCAGACCAAGAAGCAGGCGGGAGCCGCCGGGCTGGGGGGGGCAGGAGGGGGGCTGCAGGGCGACGGCAGCACAGGCTCCGGGGGCGCAGACAGCCCCAACTCATCCCAGCAGTTTCCCAAATGGGGGGTGAACAGCGGCAGCCCCTCGTCCCGCGGCAGCCTGGACGACTCTGACATGTGGACCACCTTCCGCCCACGCACCAGCTCCAACGCCAGCACCCTGAGTGGGCGTCTGTCCCCCATCGCTCCGGGACACGAGGACGACGACAACCTGCCGGAGGACAGCCTGCTGGGCCGATACAGCTCCAGCAGCCTGACCCCCACCCTCACCGAGACCCTCATGGAAGAGCTGGATCTGATCGACGGCCTCACATTGATGACCGGGCAGCAGGGAGGGGCCAGTCCCAGCACAGCCCCCCCGGCCCCTCCCACCCCGCTGCCCTCCGCCTCCACCCTGCTGCCCCGCGGCTCCAGCTTCTCCTCCTTCAACCAGTTGCAGCAGTCCAGCCTCCCGCCGGCCCCCCCCCCTCACAGCGGGACCCAGGCCTCTCAGTGTGGCAGCAAAGAGCCGTCATCCTTCAGCAACTCCCTCTTCAACCCCATGTCCAGCTCTGGCTCTCGTGGGGGCGGCCATTACACCAGCCATGTGCCTTCCAGCCTGGAGGCGCTGCTCACCTCCGACTCCCCCCCCCCCAGTGACGTGATGATGACCCAGGTGGACCCCCTGATGCAGAGTCCTGGAGGCATGATGGGCCTGGGCTCATCCGTGGTGGGCGTGAGGTCCAAACCCAACCAGCTGCTGTTGGGGAAAGGGCTGGAGCCCAACACGGTGGCCCCCATGGCGCTTCAGCAGATGCAGCAGCGCCACCTCCACCTCCAGCAGCAGCAGCAGCAACAGCAGCAGCAGCAGCAGCAGCAGCAGCAGCAGCAGCACCAACAACAACAACAACAACAACAACACCAGCACCACTCACAGATGGGGTTGGGGATGATCCTCTCAGGTATGTCTCAGGACCCGTCACAGCTCTCCGCCCTCAAAGCCCAGCACGCAGCCCTGCCAGCGGGGGGCTCTCACCCCGGGGCGGCCCACCCTGGCTCCAGCCTGCTGGGGATGGCTCAGTTGGGTCAGTTGGGTCAGTTTGGAGCTCCATCCTGCTTCCAGCCCGGGCAGGACCGGCTGCCCACAGACTTGGACATTGACATGTTCACCGAGAACCTGGATTGTGACGTGGACTACATCATCAACAGTGACCTCATGGACGGAGACGTCCTCGACTTCAACTTTGACCCCATCCTGCCTGGAGGCCAGGGCTACGCCGGCCCCGCCTCCACACAGGGCTCTGCTCACAGCTGGGTGCCGAGCTAAGTCCTCCGCTGTCCAGTCAGCCAGGTACGCTCATCACTCTTCCTCTATCAGTTAAACTATTGGTGAATGGGGCTGCAATTTGCTATTTTTATTATCGATTATTATTTTCTAGATCAGTCAATTCATTGTTCGGGTTATACAATTACAGAAAATAGTGTCCATACCAGTTTCTCAATTTCTAATGATATGTTTTCAGTTTAATATGATATAAAAGTGTGAAATGTCCATATTTAAAACACCTTAACCCTCAATTGGTTATCAAAACAGTTAGAGATGACTTTGTCCTCAATCGACTAACTGAGTATTCAACTGATTGTTGCAGCCCTCGTCTAGGTTAACCAAATATAATCAAATTCTAATGAATTAAAACACTTTAGAAGGTTCACTTGTTAACCTGTATCACTGTAAATTGAATATGTTTGGGCTTTGGACGGTTTGTGGCATGAAACAAGGTTCAAGGTTCTTTATTGTCAAACTGACATAGCTACAGAGTAATTATGTTGTTGAAAATCTTATGTCACAGGCTACTCCAACAATGCAACATAATAACAATACAGATAGCAAGAGCAATACAAAAAGAAAAATAGTTATAAAATAAAGTGAGCATGTGGAATAGTGCAGTACGAGTCTATATACAAGTTATTGGAATGATATATATTAGATATTAGATACATATTACTGAGTAGCAGATGAATGTTTTTGAAGTTGTTTCAGCAGTTCAATTAGACATTTATGTAGAAATGATGAGCATTTCAACACCATGTAGAGCAGTACACATGGATTACATTTACAGTGATTGAGCTGATATGACTTTAAGTACATCATAAAGATTTATTACGATATATCATCACGAAAGACCGTTTTATCCTTTTGTCTTGCAGGAACTGATCTCCAATCAATGAAACCTCAAAATCGTTCAAAACAACCGGTGCATTCCTCCTCCCTGCTGGCTGGATTTTAAAACAAGATGCTTCTCTCGGACGTAAAAGACAGAGCCCCCCCCCCCATGTCATGTGCCAAGACATGCGGAGGACAGGGAGGAGCTTCATGCTACTATGCACAATATTTCTCCCTTTTTTCAAAAAACAAACTCTTGCAACGATTTGGCTGCTAGCCGATTAACCTTTTTTTCTTCTAACCAGAACTGATGTTTTTTAAAAGACGTGTGACTTGGTGTTTTAAAGAGTGAAAAGACAAATCATGAACTCCCCTCTGCTGGGGGTTTATACTTCAGTTTTGTTACACCAGAATAGCTTTAGGGTGGATACGGTACGGGACTACTTTTGGTATTGAAGACTCAATAGACTGTTTGTTTTTTTGGAGAAATGGCCAGTTTTCCTTACTACACGAGCACGAACTGCCAGACCAAATGCTGTCGGAGGAAGAAGCCTCCTCACAGGATTGTGTTGCGAACAGACGGAAGATAAAAGACTGGGCGACTGGAGGTATAACATGTTTGATTTGACATCTCGCCCAATTGTAAACTACAATTATGTGTACGGTTTAAATTTCTCACTTTAGAGGGGAAAAAAAGAAGATACATTTTTTTTTCTCCAATGGAATTTGGTGAGCAGTTAAGAGGGTCTGTATTTGCAGTTTGGCTAGTTTGACTTCAATCCAGTGTGTTGCGGTAGATGTCAGTTAGAGGGTGTGTTTTTTTTTTATCCCTGATGTGCAGTTAAACTAACAAAATGAAGAAATGTGATTTTTGAATTTATACACGGGGCATTCAAGGGTAAATTGATTTGCCAACAAGTGATTGGTTGGCCAAGTATTATATTGTTTCAGACAGCAGTATGCCACCACTGTCAGACATCTACTTGATTATTATCTCCTCTTCCGTTCTTGTTTTCATCGAGCCTGTGCATTTTCACAGCACTTAGGTTTCCTGCGATCCAGGAACCCCAAACTAGTAGACACATTAGGTTATAACATTTCATCAAATGAGTTTAAATCCTGTAAAAAAATAAATAAAAGTACGTGTTGCACATGTACACGATGAGACGCTATGCAGATTTATGGAGAGAACTAAATGAAATCTTGAAGGAAATTAAAAAAAAATCACTTCTTGAAGGGTTTTGTTGTTTAACATTTTCCTGAAATGTTGAGACTTTAATTATTCAAGAAATTAATTCTCTGTGTGAGAAGTACACAAAAAGAATATATTTGATTATAGTTTTAATATACAATTTAGACGAGGTAATAAATGAGATATTAATACATATGAATATATTACTAATGACAAGTAATGTTTTTTTACATTGGAGGAAGCATTCTCAGATAATTTTTAACGGTAATTTTCTATACTTTTATTTTTGTAAAGAATGAGATGCATGTAGATTTTTTTACATAACCAAAGGAACACTAATATTTGCATGGCATGTAGGGAGCGCTTGGGCCTGACACAGTATCTCGTGTACATAAGCTTTGCAGAAGATGCCTGTAACATAAGAATCTGACTTGTAGAGTGAGGCAACGTGCATCGATACTTGACCATTTAAATTCCCAATGATCTGCCTCTTTGTTTTCTGCATTAATCGTGAATCCAAAAGAGAAAGAGTCCCACTTTCAACATGCCGCCGGATTCTCATCTCAAAACGAGACTGATACAACCGTTACCTCTCAGGGTCGCTCACAAGAAACACAGGAAAACAACTTTATGATCACTAAATATATAGATTAGTTTTGCTTTATGATCACGTGACCATAAAGCAAAACTAATCCATATATTTGACCCATTTGTCTCTGGCCTGGAAACCTTCACGTCTTTGTTTTCCTGGAGGATTTTCTGTCTTAAAAAGAGTTGACTTTAAATTTGACTTCCCTTTTTTTATTTAGAGAAGTGTTTTCTAGCTCTCCAGCCCTGTGTATCAGTGATAGCCGATCCCTTGGGTTTCCTTTTTTTTTTTTACTGCCAATATTTAAAACACTATAGCATGACTTTACTCAGTAGCAAGATGGACTTTATTTGTCCTCTTCCCCCCCCGTACATTTTGTGTTTGTATTTAAATACTTTTGTTCATAATTGTGATCAGAAATAACATCCCTGCAGTTTGAACTCTCATCATTTCACTGCAGGTATGTTAGCCTCTGATTTGTACAAAGCACTCTCTTTTTTTTCGTTCCACAGTTTTTTTTTTTTTAAACATTATGAACGGTGCTAGATGTCATTTGTGACGTATCCTGCAGTACGCCATGATGCAATGGGTGCATATCAGGACCTTTTGAATTCTCTGTACACAGCTCCAGGATCTGGATGTGGTGTTAGGTTAGAAGTTAGCACACGATCAAAAGTCCTTCCCCTTCCTCATTTTTTATGTTTTTCTATATAAATATGATAACCCCCTTCTCCAAACTGGTCATTAATTAGATCTGGAAACAGGAGACCAGCTTGTTCAAAGTGCATGATTTTCTTCTAAATCATAACATGTAATCATTTTTAGAAAGTTGTATAATGCAACTATTTTGCCCCCTATTTTGAATTAATGTCCATGTGTTGGAAATGTTATTAACATTTAAAGGACAGACTTGCAGCATGTAAAGGAGCGGTGGTTGGTTTGATGTCTCTAGTTTACTGTTGCCTCGTTTAAAAAAAAAAAAAAAAGGGCAGGTGTGGTGTTATTACTCCCCTTGTATCTCCCCCTCTATGTAATACTTATCTACATATTTTGTTCTTCAGTTTTTTAAGTAGCAGTTAGTCCCTTAATGTTTGTTTTGAACTTTTAAAATTGCCCCTATTTTACTCAGTATTTTAGTATTCGGCAAGGGTTTTTCTTTCATAAGGGGAGGGTGGGGTGGACATGGAATGATGAGTTGTGCATAAGCCAATTATGTTTATGATTTTTGATTAATGTTGATAGTTTTTACCCCCCCCTACCTCTTTATCTTTCTTTACACATTGTAAAGTCAGCCAGAGATGACAGTCAGTTCTGAAAAGCAGAAATAAATTCAATAAACTGTTTAACCCACTGTCTGTGTCTTTGGTTTCAAAGTTATTCACTCTTTGTTTCATTGAAGTCAGACTGTGTTCAGTTCAGCCGCCAGGGGGCGCTGCTGTCACACAGCTACTGTCAGATAAACAGTACATGTAATGTGTACCCATAAGGCTGGTTAATAAAAGCAGGGATTGAGGACTTTTTGAGAAATTACGTAAAATATTCTGTTACAAGTAAAATGTCCTGCTTCGAAAAAGGGTACTTAAGTACATTTAGTATTTAATCAGGAAAATGTAACTTTAGTATAATAAAAAAAACAAAAAAAACATTTGATTTTATAAAATGTTGGGTTGTTACACTTATAACAAAACATTTAAATTATAAACTTGTTTTTTAGTGTGTGAAGAAACTATAAAACTGAAGTGAGGTAAGTACAACATTTCCCCCTGAATTGTAATTAATCAGAAAGATTAAAGGAAAGTAAAAATACTTAACTCTCCATCATATCTTCTTGGTCATATATCAGGAGAGTAAATATATTCATGAGATTGGAAAAAGTAGTTTGAGCAGAAAAGTAAGTACATTTCCGTCTTATTTCCTTTGCTTTTGATTCAACCTCACAGGCGATCAGCAGACGGTCAGGTGGTGGAAAGATTTAGAAAACAAAAGTCTGACTTGTGGAGAGTAAGTGAGAACAAAAGGATTGCTCGATATTATTTGGTTACAGTTTAAGGTTTGTGTGATTTACCACATTATGAAAAGCATTGAGGTTTCCTGGAGACGAAAGTAAAACAGGAGACAGGATTTATTTTCATAGAGCATCTTTATAGAAAACATTTCTTCACATTTTCAAAAAACAGTTTTTTGCTTTTTCACTTGTTCTCTTTTTTTTAAGAAGTTTCTTGTTTTTTTAAAGATAATTATCCTTTATTTTTTATCTGCTCAAGTTGAACATGTTTAACATCCATCTGTGTCAAAGGCTCTTTGCTGAGTTGCTGGGGCTCCCAGGTGTCTGATAGAGGACACACACTGACAAACGCCAAGAAAAAACAGTTCCCGTTCATGCAGGGACTTTTTAAACCCGTGTTTTAAAAGGTTTCCCAGCTGCCACCAGAGCCCACATCCAGCCTCCAGTAGTCACACCCCTCCACTTCAGCAGCATCCAGCTGTATCCTGAAGGCACCTGTGTTATCAGCGCTTTGCTTGACATGCTCGATATGCACTTGTTTATTTTCTACATCCTGCAGCTACTAATTCTAAAGTCTGTCAAAACTCTACGTCTACCTGAGCTGCAGCACAACATGCAGGTCCTACCCAGAAACAAAAACTATAAAAATAAAAAAGACAGAAAACAAGATACAAGTATTTCAACGAATAGTTTGCACATTGTTCTGCTTTGCAAATTGTACCGTGGATTTCTACTTGATAATCAGCTTTGCTACAGCTCACAAAAAAAGCTTGAACACAAAGCTTTGAGCAGAACGTCTGAACTCAACTCATGACCAGTGCAGATCGACTGGGAATTTTCCATCCATCCAATCCTTCAATATGTTTCTTTAATGACCTTTGGTCTGAAATTCAGTCTCTGATTTGATCACTTCTGAAGCGCAAAAAACAATCATTTAGCAAATGGCTCAGCTTAATCCTCAATGACTTCCTAAGTTTAGTTACACGTTTCCTTATCAGGCGTAAATTATGTTTTGAAAACATTATTATCTTCAAAATCCTTCTGTGTGTCAGCGCTGACGTGAACGTAACAAGTAGAGCAATAATTCACTGTAATCTGGGGTTGAGAACAAAAGCTAATTTGAAAGTTACACGACAAACAGTCTAAAATATTTGTTACACGTCATAGTCGAGAAGAAAGGCGTCAGACACACACACCGTGCGTCTCAATGTCTACTATTACCTTGCATTATAAATATATAAAGTTTAAAAAAGTGCTTATTAAAAGAAACTATAGTGATGTGATAACTTCCAGCAGTGTCACTGTGGTGTTTGTTCTTGACCAGCATTAATACGAAATGTTAGGGAGGGCAAAACGGTCGTCCTTCACGGTCCACTCACTGTCCTCCTCCAACACTGACGAGGATTGTCAACAAAAATAACCTGGTCTCCCGTTAACATTCAACGTGTACAAAACGATATTTTTTGGGGAAAGCATAGTTAATACAAAAAGGAGACCGATCAAACTAAGGGGAGTGTTGGACGCTGTAACACTGCTACTACCGAGCAGCTTCGTACAGAATGAACACAAAACAAAAAGGTACACATTAAAACATCTCTAGGAATAATTGCACATAATGTTTGAGAGCCGAGATGTCTGATGAGAGGACTTCACAACAGGAGAATCTGCGTGAGGAGGGGGGCGTGGCACACTATGGTATAAATACATTACATCTGAGAAACAGAAAAGCACATTCATGAGACACAGCTACAAAACCATGAGCTCTGTGTCCCTAAAAGTGTCCCTCTCGTCCCACCGTCTGCTGTTGAGATTTCTTCATCCTTGCGTCTCTCTGTACCGGCGGAGAGTTATTTAGCTCGGTGCCTCTCCGAGCGCTCATGCGATCATGTACTGAGTGATGGCTCTCAGCGCGTAGAGCAGCTCCGCCTGCAGCCGGGCCTCCATGATGAGCAGGTTCACGTGTATCTGAGGGGAGGGGAGGACATGGGGTTCACTCGGAGCGCCTCACAGGGTTCAGAGTCAACAGTGAGGATTAGGACGGCACCAAATAGATAGAAGCCTATTTCCTGATATTGATATTCAGATTTAAAAGCTTTGCTGATTTGTTTTCTTTTTAATGTCTAGTCGTCCTGCTTAAAGGCAGTATTTCTGTACAGTTGCAGACACAGAAAAGACTACACTATTATTATTAATGTAATACTATGATTATAATTACATTCGAGTGGTGGCTGTGTATGATTTCCCCATCATTCCACAATCCAAACATTCACAATAACCTCTCAAATTCAAAAATTATTGAAAAAAGATGTGATCAATTCCAAAATGATCAAACATATTGTGCTTCAAATACTTTTGGGGCGTTAAAGATAGGGTAGGTAAGAATGGAGAAACCAGCTCGAGTGCGCTAGAATTTGAAACTACGCAACCGAAAAAAATCTGCCCCTCCTTCAGACTTCCTTACAGAGCCCCTCCTCCAACACACACGAACGTGCACATGACCAATGAGGGCACGAGATAAGTTTGTGCACAGATGGAAGGCTGACAGGCAGGTAGGCCATCCAGTTATTTTAGCCGGCCGGCTAAAATGATTGGTTGTGCTTTTTACAGTACTACGGCTTCCACAGATGACATTTTTTTAATGTATTTATTGTCAAAGCATTTAATATATTCATTGCTATCGGGATGTTAAGAGCATTCCATGGAATATAACAAAAAGTGTTTCTGATGTGAATTACCTACCCCACCTTTAAGGCTTTCAAAAAACAACATTTTCATTGCATTCAAAAAACCTGTTAGCTTTCCCTCAGTTAAAAGTTATATTCATAAAAGAAAGTGAAGGAAAGAAAGAAATTCAACTTCGAATTCTGATAAATCACTATTTAAATTAAGGATTTTGTATGAGGATTTTTTTTAAATGTACTTCTAGAGTAGTGACGTCACAAACAAATCAACATACAAATAATGCTTCAATAAAACACTGTCACTACCCGATTGCTCATGTGCGAGATGGTCCGCCATATTTGACAACTACATACGGCAACTCAAATAGGACACTTGACACAGTGGCGTTTGGCAAAGCAGAAAAAGAAAACAAAAAAAACCTGACAATATTAATCTGAACGAGAGAGATGAGTTATTGTGATTACAACGTGACTTCACTATTATTTAACAACTCCTTTTATTGGGTTGAGTACATTATCAGAATAAGTGAGAAATGGATTTAGCTTCTGTTAGACAGCTATCATACATACTGAAGAAATATTGAAAAAAATCGATGGCATTAATAATTTATATCTAATTACATTAACTGTGAATGTCCTTCATTTTATTTAAAATTAAATAAAATAACATAAAAGATTTTTGTATAGATATTTGAGACGTTTATGACTCGCGCATGCACAATGCAAATCGGGCAGCCGTCTAGACGTCAAATGTCCTATTTGAGTTGCCGTATGGAGTTGTCCAATATGGCGGACCATCTCGCACATGCGCAATGCGGATCGGGTAGGGATGCGGATCGGGTAGGGATGCGGATCGGGTAGGGATGCGGATCGGGTAGTGACAAACACCGATAGAGGCTTCAAATGTAGCAAAGATAGTTGGTACAGCGGTGTTAAAGGGGCTCTTACCCGCTCTGAAGGTTTGAGCGGAGCCAGACTGAGCGGACACACTGGAGTTTTGGTGGCGTCTGGAAAGCAGGCCACAGACTTGATGTACAGCCTCAGATCCCGCTCCAGCAACTGGTTCACTTCTCCATAATCATAATCATCGTACCTGTAACCAAAAACCAACATTCATTTAATCTACTAAACACAAAAGGAAAGCAGGGCTTTAGTTCGAGTCTCAAAGGGTGTTTGTGTCTCACCGTATTCCTAACACGCAGTGGATGTAGTTCCAGATGGCCCTCTTCAGGTCGGGGCTGTGCATCGAGGGGAGGGTCGTCACGCTCCTGAATCTGTCGTCCAAGAGGTAGCCGATGTCCGAGTACAACCTGTTGACTAAGGAGAAGCCGTGGTCCTCCCATGAATAGTCCTGCAGAGAAAACAACACATCAAGTCAGCAAGGTGGCGATGTTAGTTAAAGATCATCACATATTAAAGTGCGGCAGTGGTTCCCAACCCTCGTCCTCTTGTAAGCAGTTCAAATAAGACGGGTGTTTTATTTGAATAATTTAAGAAGCCTTAAAGAGGTGAGATGTGATTTAACAAAGATGGAACAAATCCCAAAAGGTAAAAGGTAAAAACAACATCATTTTGTAAAGCCATTTTTTCTCTGCTTCTCCAATCTTCTAAATCATTTTGTGATTTCTTTCCCTAAAGAACCATACAGTATGGCATCAGGATCTCAATTGGGTCTGTGGGACGAAGTCATGTGTAAAAGAAGTGGAAGGTATTTTCTGATGCCGTGGGATAACGAGCCCTAACACCCACTGTGACAGATCCTCACCTGAACTCTAAATACTTGAAAGTGGTCCTCCTCTCTGCGAGCAAACTCCTGGTAGCATAAGTCGGGGTCTGTGATGAAACGTGTCGGGTCTGCAAAGCATATCATCTCCTCCTCTTCTTCCATGTCTAAAAAAAGAGACGGTGAAAGCAACAGAGATGGAGGGGAGGCAGAGGGAGTGCGTCAATAAATGTAGATTGCTCAAGTTTCACACCATGTGACCTCAAATGTAGCGCTCGAGATAACCATCAGAAGTGAGGGGGAACATCTGAGCGGGGTTTTCTTGCCTGTGTGTTTCTGTTGGTTACCTGTTTGCTGGAGTGCTTGTGTCTGCAGCAGCCGCTCTTCTCTCTTCTCTCGCTCCTCCTGAGACTTCTGAATCTTCTCCTTCAGACACACCATGTCACAGCTGGAGTCCAGAGACTGTCCACACAAACACAGATAAGGTTTAATAAACCTTTAAGCATTTTTACAGGAAGGAACAGACAACAGGCTGAACAATGAACAATCCAATCTTACATTATAGATTCAGATGCATCTGTCATTTACACAAAGAGCTCTGTGATGCTGTATCAGATTAAAATGATCACCCTACTGTACACTTTTGTAATTATAAAAGTATCTTTTATTCATGTTTGCAAGTGGAATATTTGTACTTTGTTCTGCAATTATCAGTGATTTTCATTTTAAGAGAATACAGGTCTGATTTGTTACCCGTCTTCGAGTTATGTGTTCGGAGGGAGTGGCGAGCGTCTGAGGCACGTTGGCGTTGCCGTTGGCAGCATCGAAGGGGCAGAAGGTGGGCGGGGTGCCGTTAGGAGACTTGGAGAGAGAGGCAGGGTCTGAGTCTGTGTCACATCCAAACACAAAGCTGCAGAGGGAGTGGCAGTGAGCGAGGATCACCACGGCCTGCACCAGCTCCGCCAGAGACCAGCACTGCTCGCCTGCCTTCAGCAGCGCCTGACAGACAGAGCTCAGGGTCAGACACGGTTTATAGCTCTGTATACTCCTTAGTGTGCATCTGAGCAGGGTGATTAGTGTAAACAGAAACTGAAATGAGCGGTGTAAATATCTTAACTCAATGAAAATATATTGCCAGGCTATTTAAAAAAACAAAAGTGTAATGAGAATGAACATACATTTATTTTAGTTTAAGTTTTCTATTAAATATCAATTCCTAAAAAAGAAGACAGCAATTAATCAGACGTGACACTCCAGCAGAGGGCACTGTGCTTCACAATTAAAACCTGCTGTTTTTCACATGCAGTCTGGATTTGTAGAATTTGATAACAAGAAAATGATTTGAAGAAGTGTAATAGACAAACGTATATAAAGACTAAAACTTGCAAACGCATACTGAAAACTTTAATTCATAGGTTTATAACCTTGACCCTGAGAGCTCACTTCTGTATTGTGTATTCTGTAAGTTGTAATGGGGAATCATTTGATACTTTCTTGTTACGCTTTATTTAAAAAATGATTGTCTGCGTTTTGCTGTGCTGTACCTGGATGTGTGAGCAGGCAGTGAGCCAGGGTTGGTGGGCCAGCACTTTGTTGATGTGGTCAAGCAGACGAAGTCGAGGGGGGGCTGCCTCCAAACCCTGCAGCCACACAGGGTCCCCGCCCACCCTCAGGAACTGGGCTGAGTGCAGGTACACCAGGTAGTTGCAGTGATGTCGTGCTGCAGCCTGAAGGGCAAAGTAAGAAGAAGTTCAGACATTTCTCAAACGAGCGTGTTATTCTTTCATTTTGAATAATACTTCTATGATCCCTGCTGGAGAACAGCTTCCAAATCGACTATCGGTTTGTTTACAGTACAATGGCGAGATCCTGGGTTTGTATCAACGAGAACAGAAAGGCCACTGACCATGATGGCGATGTAATGGCGGTACGGCAGCGGCAGGGGCCCGTCCATGTGCAGGATGTAGTGCTGTGTGCGCAGGAAGCTCTCCAAGTACTGCGGGTGAGAGGCCATCTGCTGCGACACGGCGTCCACGCTGCCCCTGCTGACCAGAGCCTTCATGAACAGCAGCGACACGCGCTCCTTCTCTCCGTTCACCATCACCTACAGAGAGCAGGCAGAGAGGAGATGGTTTCTGACGGGAGAAGCACAATCTTTGTTCCGTTTGTTGTTGCAGTAAAATCGGGGGATGATTTATAGCTGTGATCATGTGTTTGATGCTGAGGCAGAAGTCATTGGACCTGAAACGAGGTACATTTATTGATTTATCTAGCAACAGAAGATGAACTGGCATACATTGTAATAATTCTAATAATTGCTTAAATCAGTATATCAGCAAAAAAAAACAAAATAAACGGATTCCAGTTGATCGGATATGGGAATGTTGAGTAATAAAACTAGATTAATTGATAAAACCTTATATGCAGCCATAAATGTCAGATAAATGTTTTCTTTGATTTTGTGTACATTGTACTCTGTGTAAAAAGTTTCCAATAAAATACTGCTTACATATAAATGGTGATAAGACGTAATAAAACAGTACCACAGGGCGGACTGTCCTTTCGGTAATTTATTAGAACTTATTTTATAGCCAAGAAAAGTTGGCTCAAGATAAAGTGCGGCTTCAGCACACCACACCGTGTGACGACGGGCACCGACTGTGCTTTGGACTGGAGTCATGTTCCACACCTTAAATCAGCTCAAGAGTGTTGAAGGAACAGCGGCCGCGATGCTGGGATACCGGCGCCGGTGGCAAGGCAGTGCATTCCTTACATTATTCTTTCTGCAACTAAAACAAGCAAACAAAGTGCTCAGCCGCCAGCTCCACAGGCACCGAGACGCCACCTTGTGTTGGCTGCAGCAGGATCTAAAGCCTCATAAACATTATTATTACTACATGTAGCTGAGCCATATGGGTATCCACATCTGTTAATTAAAAGTGGATGCAGTAGACAAACTCAATAGATGGACTGATACAACGATGAAACCAGGAAAACCTTACACCCAGGGGAAAGGGGGATTTAATGCTGGGTGGAACCGCAGAAGAAGAATCTAATGTGAAATTTGGGCTTATGAGGCCTTGAAGAGGGAAGCTCCGCAGTAGCAAAGAAGTGGATGAGGCCAAACACACAAACATAGGTGGGATTGGGCCGAGGAGCCCGAGGCCAAGAGAAACAGACCCATGAGGAGAGGGAAGCTGTCCTGCCCTCATAGGCACAGCCATTTATTTCCTCCCTCGCCATCATACAATGGCCTCTAGGAAAAGGTGTTTAGAAGCTCAGCCTTGGGCGACGACTCGGTTCGCCTGCATGTGAAACCTGAGAGCGCAGCGCTGATCAAAACCAAATGCTTCACTGCAGTTGGAATTGTACGAATGTTGGCGAGGACTTGTCACAGCACAAACTGCTGTCTAGGATTAATCCTTTCACCGACAGCTCAGTTCATGTCACGGATAGTCAGAGAAAATGTCCACGAGCGGACCATGTTACTTCATTTTAGCCAAGCACGGCTCTTTGGCATTCACCACCATGTTTATCTGGCTAGTGGCTTCATGTGGTATTTCACTTCTCTCTACAGTGGACGAGGGTTTGATCCTGCACAAGACTCCACCTCTTGACCTATTTACGCTCAGACCTAGAAACACACATTAAATAAATCTAATGATGACGTGTATTTTAGCCTCATCTCATAGTTTATATAAAATGGAGGAAAGTCAAGAGGAGGATTAAAAGGCAGCGAATGAACTGCACTAAATAAAACCTCCTTATAGTCGGACCCTGACCCACTCTGGTCTGTCAGCGGACATGAGGACAGGCTGGAGGGCAGAGTACACAGGGGCCTGCCAATCAAAGGCCTCCTGACAAGAGCACATTCACACAAGTATCTCTCTGCAAACACAAGAGCTGCTGATTAGTATTCTGGGCTGCAGAATCTACGTTACTGCTTCATCAAGCACCAACCGGCTCGGTCACTTAAAGGAAAAGGCCTTACAGAGGTCGCTGCTTTGAGGTCGACTTGTCAAGGACTTCTCATGCAGGGAGACCACTAATTCTGTCCAGCATGTCACTGTAGAATAAGCTACGATCGCAACACAAACAGATAATGACTGATCCATGTGAAACTGTTCAATCATCCGTTTAATTTGTAATAGTAAAACCACACACTCCTTAATCAGAGGTTTAAGAAATTGTGGTTCTGTAGTCAATTTATTAACCTGATTGATATTATGTTAATGAAACAAGTATCAATATTCGAGTAAAAAATTAAACAAGTTATTTTTCAGTTATTAATGAATTCACGTTACTGAAGAATGGAGACCAAGATGTACACAATGCACACAGTATTTTATAGATGAAAAATCTGCAACTACTTTTGTAACTGCCAGTATGTGATGGCAAGCTGACACTTGCACCACTATAACAGTCAGCTGATGTATAGCTGTTGAATGAACATCACTTTTTTGTAATGTACAGAATACATTTTTTTGTTGCAGTGCACAGCTGACGGTATGAATGCAAAACAATAAATGTACTCCGGGTCTCAGATTTACGACCTGTACCAGACGTCCCAAATACAACACTGGAAATATGGCGTCTGCTTATGAAAGAAAACAGACTATCAAGAAAAACTGAGTCTCTGGCAAAACCTTATCAAAGTGGGTCATCGTGAGCAACCAGGTGACGCAATGAATCTGGGCATAACACAGACTTCTACTTGCTCCAGTAGGGGCTGTGTGAGCTCTTTGTTCACAGTGTGAAGGGAAAACACAATATCTGCATAAGCTTGATTCAGAAAATGTAACTGTTGCTGTTAGAAAATGTTCAAACTGAAATGAGAGACTGGGCTGCACAGCCAGATGATAAACCCACTGCTAATTTACATACAATATGTAAACATGAGAACACAAACTCCTCATAGCCAGTGGGAAAATAAATGACTAGTTTTGTCATTCATTTGATCTTTAGCCAGTGTCAAATCTACAGAAAATAAGTGGCAAGACTTACTCATGTACAGACAGAGGAGACGGGAATTGTCCTCAACAGCATCACCCCATCAAAGAGGAAATTGGTGTTTCATGAAATTTCATAAACATGTCTGGACAAATGCGACAGAAAGTCAATTCTGAAACAGGAACTACAGTTGATGTGAGCACAGCAGGAAATAACACATCCTACAGTTTTAACTGAGTGAGCTGACAGCTTAACATGAAAGCAAAATTGAAAGTCAGCAGTCAGCAGCTCGAGACAATATACAGTAAGTTGATGATTATGCTATGTGTCATTTTTAAAAGATTCCAAGATTTTGAAACTACTGAAACCAAAACAAGAAACATCTTAAATGTCTGACCAGTAAAGCAATGAATATTTCATTGTTTCCCCACATCCATCCCAGCCCATTTATCAAAACACTTTCAAGTCAATACTTGTGATTAATACACCCTAGGGAAATAAGGTTTATACAGACATGTTTTGCAGAGATTGTGTCCAGAGACACCCATGCACTTTGCTTCGAGTTTTTTGCCTGCCCACATGATGCTGCAGACAGCCGTACTTTTGATAAGGCGATACGCTCCTTATTGTCCACCCACAGGAAAAAAACACCCGCATTAAACGAAAATAAAAAGCTGTTAGCAAGCATATTTTGGTTTCACATAGAAGCAAACAGTCTCATAGAGAAAGATATTAAGGCTTTGTGCACTGCTTACAGTACGCCCAGCAGCTAAGGATTTGGAAACAAAGCCATTTTTTTCCTAGTCAAAAACAAGCTTGGGGGTGACAAAAGCGAGAAGGCTCTGTTGATATTGAAGCCCTGCTGTATTCAAATCAAAAGATGAATTCAAACTTGTGGCCTGGTTGCAAAAGATAGAAGAAGAATTAAAAAGCTTACAGAGGGCCTGTTGTGGGAAAACATTTACAGGTGCAGATCATTTGACATTCAAAAAAAAGGTCATTTGTATATTGATCAGAGAGCAACAAGAGGCAGGGATGACATGAAAAACAGGAGTGACGTCGCTGAAGGGAGGAAAGGTAAATGCAGACAAAGAGAGGCTTTGATGGCAGGCTGACAAACAAAACAGCAGCACTGTACAGGCAGGAATATGAAGATGTCACACAATGAAGTGGAAAAATGATGCAAGCAGTCCTCTAAGGGGAATTGTGTCAGTTTGAGATGAGACGTGCATGTGTGCATGTAGTGTCTCTACAGTATGAGTGTGATTTTGGTGGGCTGCAGGAGGGGGGCTGCTGCGGATACAGGAGAAGGACATTCAATCTGCATTCCAATTGAGCCTGGAGGGGGTCCGTCCTTATCATGCGCCGGTGTTCTGGCAGCATTAACCCCCCCCCTCTTAAAAAAATTACCGGAAACACAAGCAGCCAGGGCCGGTTTTGGCCTTGCAACCTGAACTCAAGAGTGTAGCGCAAAACAAACCAGCTGCAGCCCAAAGATGTTTGGAGAGGGGAGGAGAAGAGGGGAGGGTAAGGACAGCAGATACAACACAACCAAGACAAACAAAACACTGTGCTGCAGGATGACAAAAAAAAAATAGGGAAAGCCGAGCCCATATACAGCAGATGAATTATTGGACCTGTCAGAAAACAAGGCAGGCAGGTAGAGCAAAAGGGGGGGGGGAGCAGTGACAAAAGACGGATAACAAGGTAATTCAAAAACAAGCCGAGGGCGAGCGGGTTATAAAAGCTGGTGCTCAAATGTGGTGTTGCTTAAATTGCCTGCTAAATACTTCTTTATTTTAAACAGCTTTGGGGTGCAATGTCTTTAAGGAGCTGTAGTACTGGTTATTATGGTTTGCATAAGCATAGGTCTCAACAAAAATACTGATTGTTTGCCATTTAGTTATAACAATGACGTACTCAAATGGCCTGTACAGAAAAATGCCAGCAGAAAAATGCAAGGTGAATGTCAATGAATATGAACATAACACAATGAGAAGGGTACTGAACGGAACACATATTGGACTTGAACCCAAAGTGGAGGGTTTTGAATCCCTTGTTGCTCACATTCCTCCCTGTTTTGCTCCATTTCTGGACTCTAATCTGCAGCAAACATGGCTTTTTGGACTGCACTCGGGACAGCGCCCCCCTTCTGTTGCAAAATGGAAAAACAGCCACAGAGGAGAAAAACAACTTTGATTGGCAGTCCAGTTCAGCCAGCAAAAAACAGCACAATAAAAGTCGCCAACATTTATAGCGACTTGCAGTAAAAAGGACTGAACAATCCCCATATGGCCTCATAGATTAAACGCATTTACACTGTCGGGTCACCTAGAGCATTGCTTATATATTATTTATGGTGAATAAATGTCACTGCATTACTCCACAGCCACCAAAACTGGCACACTTTTTTTCCTAAATCTTCAGATGATGTCATCGTCACCTATAGATTTCTCCTCGTACTGCAACATTCATATTTGTTACTGCATTTAAACATTAGTATTTGACTGTGAACCTTAAATATAACCATGTACTGTAAAGGAAAGCACTCAAATCACCACTGGTGAACCAACAAAGGAATAGTCTTCGTTACATGGATTGTGAAGGCATAACATCACAGTGGCTGCACAAACAGATTTTGTTCATATTAATGTCTTACGGTAGCTTGTTATACCTTGATATAGCTGACATGTAAACGGCTGGAGATGTAAAGGATTAAAGGTGTCTTGATGGTGATAAAAGGTGGCAGCTCATTACCCCGAATTAAACAATTAAAACTATTTTTGATTGTCTTTTCAGTTTGATTCAACTCTAGCATGATTGCTCTATATACCGTTAGCTAAGTTAGCTAACTAAATCAGTTTGGTAATGCTATTTTTGCTCACTAGCTAGCTTCTAGTTGACAAGTAAAAAAGTTGAGATATTTAAAACTGTTTAAAACTGCAATAGTCATATTGTCAATAAGCTGTTTCCTGTCTAAACATGTTATTTAAATTTAAAAAAAGACAACAAAGCTAAATGAAAGAGGTGGTTAAGAGACGAGTTGTTACTCTGATGTAAAATAATCCCTTTATCAAATGAATGAACGTTACCCAGGCGACACAGTTAGCCGTTAGCTTTAATTGTGCTGAAACTATTTCCAACTGCTTCGTCTCTTGTCAGCTTACCTGTTTGTGCACGCGCTGACACTGGGTTCTCAGGGGGTACTCCATTTTACTCGTACAGATGATCATTTTCCAATAAAAGTGTGCTACTGCATGGATGCGGCTCTGTCTTTTCCTTGGCGTTTTCCAAGCTATGGCTAACAAAAGGCAAGACGAGCCTGCCTGCCTGCCGCTAGTTGCAGTCAGCCCGTCGCTCTGGAGCTGAAGACTGGGACAGCAGAGCGGAGAAACCTTCCCCAGGCTGACAGCTCCGGTAACAGTGTGGCCAATCAGCGATCAGGGGGCGGGGCTACGGGCTCAGAGGCTCATATCAATGCTAATGAACATCTGCAAACAACAGCACACACAGTCCCACTTTACAACACTTTACAACACTGTCCCAACCAGTGTTGTAAAGTAACTAAGTGCATTTACTCAAGTACTGTACTTAAGTACAATTTTGAGGTACTTTACATGAGTATCTTCAACAAAAACCACCTTACTCAGGGACAGCTTTATTATCCCACAGGCCATAGGACTATAAAACTCCTGATCTTTTTCACAACTTCATACCATTCATCTGTTTGCATACAATAAGCCATATTGTATTCTACTGTACAGTATTTAATTTTACATCGTGTTTTTGGCTCATCTTGTTCTATTTTACACTTACGTATTTGTAAGAGGCCAGCAATTTCGTTTTTTTGTGTGTATTGTTACAGCCTGTTTTAAGCTCCTGTGCTGATTTACCTTAAACATACTGTACACGTGAATTAGGGGAATGTTGAATCTGGAAATGTTAAGATCTGGTCGCCCAGGGGCCTGTCTCCAGTGGTGGTGTGTCAATAAGTAGGATACATTTAAGTACTGTAAAGGGCTATGCATACTCATATACAGATTATAGGTTCTTGTACTTTACTTTAGTATTTTAGTCACATGCCACTTTATAACTCTAATGCACTGCATTTCAGAGGGGAGTATTTTTAACTCCACTACATTTGTCTAACATTGACGTCTATCATTATTAAACTGCTTTCAGGGACTGAGTAGCTAATTGAGAAGGGAAGTGACCTTCAGGTGAGTTCTCGTTTACTGCAACAGCACACCATGATTATTCATCAGTTTGTGGAAGGGACTTATCAGTTTCAACATGATAATACATAGACAAAGACATAAAGAAAAGGTTGTTCCCGGTTTGGTGGAGAAGGAGAACTGACTTGCACTGAAGATCTGATCGTAACCCCATGGACAGATTACTGAACGTGCCAAAGAGACACTGAACTACCACAAAGACACAAAATAGCACAAACGTGACGCAACACAACCAGACAACAAATATCCAAAAGGAGACAGAAAATATCCTAAAGGGACAAATAATAACTACAAAGAGATGCAAAATATCCATAAAGAGAAGCAAAATAACCCAAAACAGACTAATTACAACCACAGAGAGTTACTATTGTCCTCATATAGATGCCGAATTACCATAAGGGACACAACATGACCAGAAAAAAAGTAACCAAAATAGTACTACAAGGAGAAGCAACAACGACTACAAAGAGATGTAACTTTGTGCAGGGTTTTATTGAGTCCTCGCCTCTTACTGAAAGGGACCTTTGTTCTATATCAGGCATCTTGTTATTGAATTTAATTAAATCAGTTTGTTTTTGTGACTGAGAATCAGGACATTCGTATAATTTAGTTGCTGTGTTTTTGTACTGTCTTACCAGCTCCTGGCTTAAAATAGGGTCATCTGGTAAGCGTGACATAAATTATTCCGGCAATCACCATGTCAATCTTTCTAATGTTAATAGTTCCTCAAAATGTAAGAATTTAGATTGTTTTCCTTTTAAAAATTGTTGCATGGTTCTATGGAAACTTCTGTTTTATGAAAGTGGAAATTAAAACATATCTGGTTGGTCAGTTAAAATGGAAAATGATAGTATTTGCAAATGAACCTCCATATTTGCAGTGTGATATCCACTTACAACAAAAACACTTTTGCTATAAATACAGATCTAATGTCTAAAATCACCTATGAGTGTTGAAAAGATTGTTAACATCTGAGTAAAAATAAAGCAGAGGAGAGCTTTGGTGCGGTAAACATGAGACACGAGACTATAAACGTTCCATATTAGATGAAATAGCAGTCTGCACAAATATCATGTGAATCTACTGTAGGCAGAACCAGTCCAAACCGGTTAGCTACAGTTTAAATTGATTCAGGAGAAACATCAAAAGGTTGGGACTTGTCCTAGAAAATATCTGCAATAATAAGGGGGTATCCAGAGGTTAAGCCCACTCCTAGATGAATCTAAGGACTGTTTTCATTATCTAAAGTGACCTCAAAGCAAAGGTGACGTCTTCAATTATATATTTTCGGCCAACCCACAGTCCAGAACCAAAATACTGAATGTTCTACGCTATCTTAACAAAGAAAACAAGGAAATCTTCACAAATGACAAGCTGGAATAAGGGATTGTTTGCCATTTCAAGACTTAAACGATAAACAATTATAAATACTTTTTACTAACTTCTAAAACAGGAAGAAAATTAAGGCTCCAACTCAATTTTTTCTGTTTAATAACAGGTCCTGGGAGACATTTTATTAAAGGATCAATTAAATGGAAGAAAGCATCGTATCTCTTTCTATAGAAAAGGGGCAGATTAATTTTAGATCGACAAATAGTTTCCACTCTACAATGTATAACGAAGATATTGACTGAAGATCTTTCTGGGATCAGGGTTAATACTTCTCTGGGGAACTGGCTGTGAATTCCAGAAAATTCCTAGAAATGAAGCAAATTAGAATGAATTATTAATTCTCCTTTCATTTCAATTTGACTGGAAGCAATAAACCACTTAGCACCTGACAAGGGCGGTGAACAAATTATAACGCTACATTTCAGAGATGGTATGTCTGAGTGCCCTGGATCCACTGAGCGTTAAACTTGTTTTCTGTTGTTTGTTAGTATAACTTACCATTTCCTTCTTCAAGCTGATGTGGTAGATCAGCTGTTACCACAGCATCAGACAGTTGTTGTGCTTCACTTCACTGCAATCAGTCGTTTCTACAGAAATCGTTCAAGACAAAAGCAGAAGGGACTTTCATAAGAAATATGTAGGCACAGTTCTGGTTTCTTCCTGTACAGTAGAGGATATTGTTCATCAAGCTGCCAGAAATGCCATCTACCCCTCAGGGAATTTGGGAAATTAACATTATACAAAACAACTAATACAACTAAATGTATATGCCATCACACTGTTCAATTGTTTAGCACAATAACAGGTTTTATTAACACATTTAGTTGGTGAATTATAATAGAAAACAGAAACGTTCGACCTCTGTGTCAAAAAGAGGACAAATGTTGCCTGCCCTGACTCTAAACACTGTTCAGCTGTTGAAGAGCTATAAGAAGCTACGTGCTGCTGTTCACCCATCACTTCCTGTTTAACCAAACCTCTCCTGCTGAAGAAACCGTAACTCAGAGTCAGCGTTGTCTAAGAGTCAGCGTTGTCTGGCCAACATCAACACCGGTTTCCTGATATTCTACAATATGCCTTTTAAATAGCGACTCATGCTGAACAAGACTGAACAAATATCTGTCTCTGGGTTGTTCAGTAACATACACATTATAGAGGATTTAAAGCCTCTCATACAGTTATACATGAAGCAGTTAGACTAAGAAAAGGGGGTCATGGCGTATAAAGAGGGGTTATACTTAAAGGTCACCTATTATGCAAAATCCACTTTTTCATGTCCTTTATACATAAACATGTGTCCCCTCTGTGTAAAGAGATTCTGAAACTTTCAGGAAAAAAGATTCACTCACTTTTTGTCCTGATCCATTTATATAAAAACCTGTCTGAAAATGAGCTGATCAGATTTTGGCCACTTTATGATGTCATAACGTTGTTGGCGAGTACGGCAAATAAAAGTTGTAACAAGCAGTAGCTCTGAGAAAAGTGACTATAACGCAACCACACTTATAAAAAAAACAACACACTTCATAAAGTCAGGCAACACTAACCAGGCTTCGTGTGATTCTGTTTATTTGTACCTTACTTTGACCATCCGTTCACTGTCATTGATCATTGTGGAGAGCAGGCAGACGTTTTGTTTTGTATTATAGCAGCTATCGGATGGAATCAATACATGGGCTGCACAGGTTGTCATGTCCGACTATCACAAGTAGAATCATAATGAAAAATACGCCGGTAAAATGTGCCTGTAGAAAACGGCTTATGCCACAATAGGATAGCAACAACAAGTAGTCAAAATAGTCAGTTTAGCTTCGGTTGCTATGCTAACATCACCCATTTTATACCAGAGAAACTTTAATAACAGCGTTGTGATGCCAAACAGCGTCAATTCAGACTGACACACATTCACTTAAGGGGAATTGGGGATATGTATCAGCTGCTTGTGTGACAGTCAGACAGTGAATACTTTAGAGCCGTGTGAGCTAACCTGGAGCTAACGGGAGAATAAACTCCCGTGGAAGAGCAGCCAGCACTGCAGCGGTCGGTAAATGCCGCTGAAACACATTAATAAACAATGAACCACGGCACTCTGGAGAAAAGTATAAGCTTGGAGAAGTCGTTATTTAATTTAATCTGGCTTCGTATGATTAAAAGCAACACGATCATCGACCCGATGCAGTCCCCCATTGTTGTTGTTGTAGTGAGCACTGTAACGCCGTTGAGGAGAAAATCAGCGACATAAGCGGTGACGTCATGACGCAGCATGAACCAGCACCAGTCGGGCTCTGGGCGGTGTGAACAAAAACCGGTTCCGAACCAGAGAAGCTCTAGCACGGAGCTAGAATGGGAATCACGTTGGTGTGAAAGCCCTAAGAGAATCAGCACTTTTGAAACAGGCCTGAAACAGAGGGGATTATGGGATGCTGCAATGATCTGTTTGGTATTTGGAGCCAAACACTTCAGAGACATGTTTTGTATATATCTGAGACCTATAATATATTGATGAAAAACAGTATAATAGGGGACCTTTAAAATATTAACCACATGGTACCATATCAAAAACCTCAGCCTAGAGCTTTAACCCACTAAATGTATGCATCTTGCCAGGTTGGGTACGTGCTGAAATGATAATCAACATTACCAGGTCAACATTATCTCACCCTTGTGGTAAACATTGGAACAACTTAATTTTCTGTGTGTTGCATCAAATCAATTTTCGTGTCATTATAAAGCAGAG